ACATAAATGCAGCCCCGGCTCGATATGCTCAGCCTTTTTTTCCCCTTGTCACTTTGTCGACACTAAGTACACGTTCTCTGCGACTGCGCTGCACCTTGGCGTATGGCAGAGGCTCCCCTCCAGACCTAGCGGAAGAGCTTAAGTCGTTTCATAATTCGCAGAATCTTTCCGTACCAGAAATTGCAGGAGTATTTTTTCACAATGCTCCTTGTTCTCCATTCTTTTCGCTCTTCTTAGGGTGCTTGGGCGCAGTGCACATCACCTATTGCACTGATAATTTTGGTCACTAACGTCAATGAACGATCACAAAAGTGTAGTCGGCAATTTGATTCAATATTGGCGGTAAATGTAACGAAATATTCTTTTATGGGGCGTCGAGAAAAATATTCACAAGTAAGACTGAAATGTATATTTAAAAAATATTATCTGAAATTCCTTCATGACCACGCGTCAATCAATCGATCAATCAGTTTTAATATGTACCATACATATAGTGGCTCGTTATTATTATACAGGTAAGACCCCAGCGCCCAGTCAAGGCAGTTGCAGGGGTCCGTTTTTTAACAGTAGTAGGTACTGCTGAGCTACCAATAGATGGTAAGTACATACAAGTGCAACGAAATACAATAAGTACATATAATTGATACATAGCAATACAAAAATGCATATAACTACAAGGAAATCGAAATAATATTCTTAATTCATGTATTACTGTTGTGAGTATTGCAGGTGATCGTGAAAACATTGTTTATACAAATGAAATGACGTGAATGCTGCGATGATACAAGGTAAAGTGTTCCAGAGTTTTGATGCAATATAAGAAAATGAATGTGATCCCTAATTAGTCCTTATGTGAGGTATTCATAACGGTTTACTTAAAGTAGAACGTAAGGAATATGTGGGCGTTCGATGTGTTAATGCTATAGACGGGCATTGAACAGCGTTATGCAAAAGTTTGTATTCAAGTAGTAAAACATGGTAGTTGACATAAACTGTGATGGGTTGTATGTTTAGTAGTCTATAAGCGTAGGAAGCTGTGTCACTTTTTGGTATGGAGAAAGGGGCACGCACAGCCGTGTTCTGCGCTACTTTGAGGGGTTTCAGTGTTGTCAGGTAGGTCCATCTATAAATTACTACGGCATATGTGATGTGTGAATGTATGAAAGAATGATTTAATGTTAACATTGTCTTTATTGGGGAATAGTAGCGTAGCCTGAAAATAATAAGTATTTTTCTGTATATATACAGTGTTGTCTCATGTACGTGTGTGTGCCATAAAAGTTGTGCGTCCAAGTATACACAGAGAAATTTTATACTACGAACCCTTTCTAGTACTGTGTTATTCATTTCAAGCTGATTACTTAATGTAAGCTGGGTGTTTTGGGGAGCGAAGATAATGTAATTACTCTTAGAGCTGTTGGCGAGTAGTTTGTTTGCATTAAGCCAAGATGATAATTTTTGTAAGGCCGTTGTTGCTTTTTGGTATAGGATATTTTCGTTTTTTTGCTGATATAAATATGTTAGTGTCTTCTGCGTAAAGGATACAATTTTCCGATGTTACGGATGGCAGATCATTAATATAAGCTAAGAACGAGAATGGCCCTCGAATTGAACCTTGCGGAACATCTCTATAAGTTATGCATCGACATGACGACACACCGTTCACATACACATATTGCTCTCTGTTATTCATATAGCTCGAAACAACCGTTACCACTGTCCCGCGTATTCTGTAGTGATCAAGTTTGGTTAGTAATACGTCATGATCAAGCATGTCAAACGCTTTCGTGAGGTCAATGAACAGTTTATTTTCGATGTTTGCTTTTTTTTTTCAACAATCTTTAGTAGTGCATGTTCTGTCGATTTTCCCTTCCTGAAGTCGTATTGCTCAGGCGCGTATAGATTGTGTTTTTAAAAAAATTGTTCAGCCTAATATATATTGTCCTTTCAACAACTTTGGCCAATGCTGGCAATATGGCGATCGGACGATAATTTGCTACTTTCATCTCTCCGCCTTTCTTAAACACGGGTATTATTTTGGCGACTCTTAAGTTCGAAGGAAACCAACCAGTTTCAAAAATTTCATTGATGACATATGGTAATGGCTCAGCTAGAAGTGTAGATAAGTGTTTTATAAGTTGATGTGATACGCCGTCGTCACCTATTGGCATGGTGTTTTTTAGTGCAAAAAAATATTTTTTTATTTCATCGTTGGTTGCTGGATAAAAGAAAATATATTTCACGTTTTTCCCGCCAGGAAGGCTAAAACAAGTGTTGTGGCATGATATTGTGTTACTGATAGTGCCTACATTTGCAAAGTAATCATTAAAAGCATTTATAACAGCGGTATTATTAACCATGTTTTCATTACCATCAATAATTACTGTAACATTGCTATCCATCTTTCTTTTGTTGAGGGCTTCATCAACAACTTTCCACGTCGCCTTACTGTCATTATTAGCTTGTGCTATTTTTGAACTGAAGTAGCCATGCTTCGAAATTTCCAATAGTTTCTAAGGTGGTTGTTGTATCGCTTTCACCTAGCGTCGAGGTTGACGTTATGCAGTTGCCGTTTTAACTTTTTGTACATGTTGTTTTTGTGGTTTATGGAGCGCAAAAGGCCAGCCGTTATCCATGGTTTGCGTTTAAAATTAGTTCTTGTAACAGTGATAGTGGTCTCACCAACCGTCACATGTCTCTTTAAAATGTTGATAAAAGCACTATATTTTTCCTCAGTTGAACTTGCAGAATACAAATCTTGCAGTTTTCTTTTTGCCGAGAAAAGTGGAAAATTGCTTCTTGTCATAAATTGCGCGCGTGACTATATTTTTTGTTGTTTGGTTAGCCGGATTAGATATCGCAAACAATGGCAGATGATCAGTGTCACATGGAATGGTGCCCGTTACAAAGATTGGTGATGAATGGCTTGTTATAATGTGGTCAATTATACTTTGCCGCGAGCTTGTTATACAAGTGGCAGATGTTATTAATTGCAGCAGACCTTCGCGAGCGAGCAGGTCAGCATAAGAATAATTAGTAGAGTCCTTTTGAGCAATGTCGATATTGATATCGCCAAGTGAAATGACATGAATGTTGGGTTCAATATAGGTGTCGAGTGATTTTCCAAGTTCTTGTAACAAATTTTTGACTTTGTTCAGCGGTAACCTGTATGAAGAGTTTTTTTAAGTCCTGTGTGGCAGTAAGCCTTTTGTGGTACGATCACGTTGAACTTCAATGAACAAACTTTCAGATATATCTGACGTAATCACAATGTCGCGCCTGACAAAATAAAATACTGATGCGTCAATATAAAGTACCCCCCCCCCCTTGCGACGATGCAGTGCGCAGCTGGTCTGACAATAAATTTTATCTGTTAGCTATTTCGAGTTGATAGCCTGGTAATGGATTAGGAGCATCAGCGCCGTTGCTGAGCCAGGTTTCAGATAGTGCAATCATGTGGAATGAGTGCTTTAAAGATGCGTTCAAGACATGCAGTTCGACATAGTGCTTCTGCAGCCTGCGAATGTTTAGATGAAGTAGTGACAGATCAGACGATGTTTTCATTTGTTGATTAAATTTTTCAACTTCAAGCAGTTCCAGAGCCATGATGATTCTGAAGGTGTATGAGCAGTGACATTATACAGTGGCCACTTACTTCTCTCGCAAGAAAACGCGCAAGTCGTCATTCGTTTGTATTTTGTGCACACGACTTGCAGCAGTTTTTCTGGCTTTAATCACGCACTGTTGAGTCGACAGGAACTGCCACTGACGATTCTTTTTTCAAGTTCAGTGCTTCAAAGAATAGCGATTTGTTTTTCGGACTCAAGTGATCGTTGAAAAATACTCCTGTGTGCTCCACGCTGTTTCCAATGTCACTTGCGGTCAAGCTAGCTTTGCGAGTTTTCTTTTGGAATTCTGTTTTCTTATCGCGTGAAACAAATTGTACAATGTTGTTTGCTTTAGGATTTGCTGGTGTAGGCACTCTGTGCACTGTGTCGATGTCTGCTGATCCTATTTCACACTGAACCTTTGAACCAATATTACTTATTAGTTGTGGAAGATACTCATTTGCTGCATTTGGTATTCCTCGAATTTCTATGTTGTTTAAGCGCGTGTATTCTAAGTGAGACAGTTTCCTTGTCAGGCCAGCATTCGTACTGTGCAGGTTATCATTTCATTTTAATAAAGATGCGTTCTCGGCACGTTCTTGTCAATTCATCAGGATAAAAAAGCAAATCTTGTCATTTGCAGCTTTTATCGTATCATATTCCTTGCTCAAGAAGTCTATGCTGGCAAGTGCATCGCCGAGTTCTGCGCGGCATGCTGACACTTTTTTTCACTGAGTGAAAGCTTTGCTGTAAAATCATTTCTTAATTTGGTTAGTTTTTCTTCAAACAACATTTTCATAGATTTCATTTCTTTTTCTAACTCCACGTTTGTCGGCATTTCAATGGCACACTGAGCGATCCGCAAAGGCTAGTGAAAGAGCTACAGTAGTAGAAGATACGACAAAGTAATTAACCTGCGCAAAGGTAAAGCGATGTGTAGGCCTTTGTAGCGAGCTGCTTGCTGCCTTGCGAATCGCTCAAGTGATATTCCATCAATTGAACACTATACGCATTTATTGACATAACTTGGTCCAGTTGGCTGATACTTGCCTTTGAACGGCTTGCTGGCATAGATTTATCGGTGTTTTTTTTTTATTTCCCTGCAGGTGTCAAAGTTCCTCGCAAGTCTCGATCAAATAAATTCCGCCTGCGTGACATCATCTTGTCTATCCCACGCTATGCTAGGTGATAATAAAAGCCCTGCGTTGTTGCACACCGTAAAAATGCGGCAACAAAGTCACTGCATTCAAATATCAGTGTTGGCACGCAACAAAAGCACGTGAATTCGTGCAAACGACAAATTGACGAAGCAATCACCACACTGTCGAAGATTGCCACTAGGGCCTCGTTGAGCGCCTAAAGGCACTTTTTTTTCCTCAAACAAAACTACAGAAAAAAAAAGAGCAAGACCAACGATAGGAATGGGTTTAAGAGCCGTTGTCGCTATTCCCTTTTCTGTGTGTTTGTTGTTTCAACCTCTTCTGGCGTAGTTGCTTCCATCAATTTCACATGGCACGTTAACGGTCGACGCAATTTCCTTTGTCTTTGAAGCAAGCTATATTCACGAGTGACTTAAGTGCCCGTCCCTGTCTGGCAAACCAAAGGTAAGTCATGCAGTTTCCTGAAATTACGCTTTCTAGGATGTATAGTTTTGCGCCGGTGATGGTGATCATGCCGCAGGTGAGCTTATCGCTGTAAAGTGGCCTTTTTTTTTTCTGCCTCCGCTTCTCATTCATTAGTACCAGGGGTGCTGCGCACCAGACATTGATTATTCCCGTGTCTCGCAGAAATACAGTGAGTAGTCAGTAAACTGTTTTTCTGATTGCAGTGGGTCCTTTGGGAAAAAATGCCTTGAATGCTCCAATCCAGAAACCAATCTTCTCCAGGATATGAACCATCGCATTTCTTTCCCTGTCAAACGGCGGCCACAGCCAGATTATTATTTCTATGTCCCCGATATTACTCGCAACTTAACACTACCAAATTTTCGACCTCATGAGTCTTCGCGACGCTGTAGGCATGTAATTTTGTGACAAGTGTACGGATGCTCACACAATAATTCGGAACGCCAGATAGGTGGCCGGTCACCGGCAGAGCGCGCCTGCAATATATACAATGGTTGGCTCGTTCGCAGTTTTGCTGGCAATCAAGCCTCGCTCCCGATTGCTCTAGTTTGGTGTTTCTTTGTTCTAAAAGCTAGCTTTAGGAGTCTCTTGGCGTTGGCACAGTCGCGCCACGTAAACATGCTGGTCAGGGAAGCACCTTCACAAAGGAACACACCGAGACGACAGGCATCATCGAACTCGTGTCGCCTCAAATGTAACAAAAGTAGGCGTTCAAGCTTAAAAGTAATCACACAGCCCCCCTCCACCCAGCCCCCATTATCATAGGGCTAATGAGCACATAGTCCTAGCCTTTGGATCAGGGAGTGAGTCTTGCTTGACTTGACCACGCAAACCAAAAACCTTCCACTATTTTTACATCGGCATGTTCTGCTGACAAGTGAACGCCTCTAAAACGTTTCGAAATAATGTTGAACACTTGTACACTCTACAAGGTTTTATCCATGTCGGGCATAACTACTTATGTATCACTGAGTGTTTATAATGTTAACTTTTGCTGTACAGTCATTGCATTAGAGCCCAACACCCTAATGTGTAGCCGTTTCTTACCAAAACTTATTATCTCTGCAGGCATCACTGTGCTCTGTGTAAGGCATGGGTACCACTTCTGCACGCTCCCACAGCAAAATTATAGCTTTATGTAGGTTCCCAGGATCATTATCCTGGTCCCGGTCAGTCATGCAACTTGTGGCCACGTTTTGTCTCGCGACACACGTTTCTGCGACTGTCGGGGTGCTGCAACCAGTCGAATACGCCGCAAACATCGCACGCGCCATCAAGATGGCGTCCGACACACTCGGCGGGGCTGATGAAGAAGGCGTTTTTATAAAGACGATGCATGGCCGTGGCTGCCTTGATTCTGGCTGCTGCTCAATAGACTGGTGAGTGCCGCTTCGTTGTTGAACTTGCCGAAATCGCCTAAGAGTCCTTTTGTATTTTCCACTCGTCGGCTTCACCTTTGTCAATTTTAGATGTGGCGTTTCGTTCCAGGGCTGCTTTTTTTTCTATCCTGACCTCACTCGTACAAGCGCAAGCCGCATGTATTAGCTACTCAGTGTATTGTCATGCCGAACAGTGGGGCCTGCTTCGGTCATTTGCCTTTCTTTCCCAGCGTGTGGAGTGTTACAGCTAGTTGTCCACGTTTACTTAAACACCACCTAGCCCGGCTATTTGCCTTGTCGCGTATATATATATATATCTATATATATATATATATATATATATATATATATATATATATATATATATATATATATAGAGCCACGAAAGTAATTCAGGCAAGCTAATGTGTGCGTGCGTGTGCGCGTGCATTAGTAATGCTTATGCTCTGCGTCATTATCCGTGAGGAACTATAATTTACGTAAATTGCAGACAGTAAATCGCAGGCGGTTTCAACAAATCTTTTTTGTTTGTTTGTTGGTCACATGCGAGATTTCTGTACAAAAAATTTAAACTCATTTCACATATGCAACATCTAGCTTGTCCAAGTGTTGAGCTGAACGCAACCTTTATCCGCGCAGAAGTGTGCAGACAACTGTGTCAGGGTGTGTCCTCGTGGGATGCGCGGAGTAAACTATCATTCTCGCACTGAAGAATACGTACGGAAACTATCGCAGATCAAGTATACAGTACTTTTGTTACAAATGTTCACTCTTTATTACAGCCAGTGTTCGCGTTTCCTTAAGCGCCATCTAATCATAAAGATTGCTGGCAATACCATCACTGTATGGGCATCAGCGATTATGTAGCAAGCTCGGGCTCACCTGCAGCCCAAAAATGCTGTTTCGTGCACAGGTGAACTTGTTTTAGTCACATTTCATCTTCCAATATTATAAATCTGCCTGGTTTCACAAACCTGTTACGTGTAGATGATTTATCTCGGATGCGTTCAACAGAATCCAGTCCTATTAAAATGATACTGGTAGAACTAACAAAAAAAGCATGAAAATGAACGCGCATGGCAGCATTAACGAACTTCACTACAGAAAGGAGAGAAATCTGAAGTTCGATTGGAGTCGCGCACATTATCGTTGGTAAGAATTCCGCAAGAGGAAACGATTGACCCCGTCTCATAGCACATTGAATATGTAACTGTAAGGATCTGGGAAACAAATGAAACAGGAATTCCAATTTGCGAAAATTACGCGATAATCTACCGGCAAAAATATGTCCCAACGCTTTAGAATGGGTTGCCTATATCGCCGTTATCTCTAACGTGCTTGAATAAAATCGCAAAAGTTTATCTTCTGTTCGATTTATTTCTTGCGGCCCCCTGGCACGATGCTCGTGGCACATAGCATATGCAGCTGTCCCGTGTGAAAATGCGTTCCCTGAACCGACATTCAAGTATTGGGGTGACGTGACGTCATTTATGTTGAGAGCAATAAACCCTTTTGCTGGCGGGAAAATGGCCCTCTGATGTAACATTTTGCCTTCGACAAAGAACACCGCCAGTTGACCATTCGAAAGACGTTTGGCGTTACCCATTGAGGCAGCAACGTCATGTTTATTTTAGCGTGCTTTTGCATCGTCTGCGGCACTACATGGCCTATAAAATTAGGGGCCGCTTGACAGCTAGCTTTGTTCTCTCGGCCTTTTGTGTTCGTGCGTTTGCGAAAGGAGTGACCTCGATGACCTCATCTGAACAAATGAGACATCTGCGAATAAAGCAGACATCCATTAGTAAAAGCGTATATAGACTTGCTTCAATGCCTACGCCTCTTTTATTTTTTTTTAATTGTTTCCACTCTTCCAATCATGATGGGTAAATGTTCTGAACGGAGCGCGTCCTTATTTGTGAGCGGTCGTTTTGGGAGCAAGTTTCTTCATCGACCGTCAAGGTTAATTATGCGAAAAATGTTTCGGCCCCGCCGCGGTGGTCTAGTGGCTAAGGTACTCGGCTGCTGACCCGCAGGTCGCGGGTTCGATTCCCGGCTGTGGCGGCTGCATTTCCGATGGAGGCGGAAATGTTGTAGGCCCGTGTACTCAGATTTGGGGGCACGTTAAAGAACCCCAGGTGGTCGAAATTTCCGGAGCCCTCCACTACGGCGTCTCTCATAATCAAATGCTGGTTTTGGGACGCTAAACCCCACAAATCAATCAATCAAAAATGTTTCGAAATGAATGTATTATTCCAACAAACGCTACTTTTTTTCTTCTTTTTCTGATATTTTTTGTGGTTATCAAGTAGAGACGATCACGTGGTGGCGTGTTTCCCAACAATAGTTGAACGATAGTTTTTCCTATTGCACTTCAGCTTACTTATTTTATCCATCTAAAAGATTAGCTTTCATTGCTATGAACTGCGACTTCATGGGAACTCCCTTTACCATGGCACCCAATATCTCGAAATCCGATAGTTAGCTTTGCATTATTTCAAATAGCGATAGAGTTACAAAATATGATATCAATTTTCATGCTCCACGTGGTTTGATTAAGAGTAAAAGATGCATATCAGATGCTGGTTTGACATATAGCCTTTGTACATTGAAGTCAGTTGTTTTAATATGACAGCAGCTGATCGTCATAGTCAACCTCCGAGAGGTCTTATTATAAAGGCGTGTTTCATTATGCATGCATTCACTTGCCAATGTACGGCGCTGCAGGCCACTCCCATTGGTGCGGCGGAGGCTTTCAGTTTGCGAACATGCTGTTTAATGTGTGTCCAGGAATTCCCTGGAGGTAGTTGTTTGCGACTGAATTGATCAGTATAATGAACGAGTTCGGAGGTCTTATTTGCTGGGCTCCTTGCAATTTGCGTAAGCGCATGTAGGAGGCAGGAGGCCCGCTTTCTTCGAACGCGCGGCTTCACTTCACGATCTCGTGCAATCGCGCGGGCACGTGGTGACCTCCCGTGGCGACCTCGATAACTACGGAGCAATGGAGCCCATGGCCGTGATTTCGCTACATGGCGTGGTCATTTGGGTACACGGCATCATTTACGGTAGATTAAGAGGGAACGATTTTTAGCTGACACTGAGAATTGCCGATTCCATACCTTATGCTACGCTATAATGTGGTTAGCGTATTCTCCCTAGCCTGGCAGCGCTTTCTGATTACGCTGAAAAAACTATTGCAGTTTTTGTCAAGCTTTTTTTTTATTCACGACTGTTGAATTGCTAAACAAAAATCGCAACTGATAATTAACCTGTTGTACGTCCACAGCTGTAATGTGTACATTTCGTATTGCCACGTTTTAGGGTTTCAAGAAATCGGGCTAGGAGGCGAAAATGCTGTAAGCCCGTTAGCCCAGACTTGGGCGCACGTTAAAAAACCCTAGGTGGTTGAAATTTCTGGAGCCCTCCACTACGACGTCTCTCATAATCATATTGCGGCTTCAGGACGTTAAACCTCACATATGAAATGAAATGAAAGCAGGCTGGTGGCATGTATTTTTATTATAACAGCGCCTTCGCAAAAGAACACAACCGAGACGACAGGCGTCATCGAACTCGTGTCACCTCAGCATATCGCTCTTCCGAAAATCCTAGCTTCGTCACTGTTTGTAACCTTCTTGATAAAAAGCGTAGTGTTTTGCAGTTTCGTTGTTATTCTTCAATGTTTAATACTTTTGCTTCATCGACCCAGAACTTGACGGGCTAAACAATCTGCGGTATTATTTTGATTGAACCAGAAGCAAAATTTTGAACTCGTGCTGTAGCTGTGCGCGCGTCGTCACGGATATTCAGCCAGCAGTTTTGACTGCCTGGAAGAATAAGTTCGCCCCAACCCTATTTAATCTCGAACTGCGGGCGGGCAGTATATATTCTCATGTTTACTGAGCCTGCTTTCTTTGTATATATATATATATATATGCGTGTGGGCAGCGAAGCTGTTATTTCATAGACCAGTTTGATATCGTCTTGATACATTGAGTCATCTAACGCACTACATTACTGACTGACAGAAAGACAATTACATGCACTCTAACACACCGTTATTTCAGTGAAAAGATATCAAAACTCCTTTATAAGACCGCTATAGTTTGCACTGAGGGTGTCGGTTTAAACGTTGTAGTGATTTCTAGCTAAAAGAAAATATATGCACGAGTTGCCTACATATGTTTGGCCAAGTTTAATTTCAAAAATTGACTTGGCGACACTTCCTGTTTGGTGCGATACTTTTACCGCTCTCCGGAAAATGCATCCTACACAACCGCTATCTCTGTCGTCAAGTGCATGCCATGATACGTGCTTCGCATAGTTAGAGCGCGCCTTACTATCTAATGTGAGACTTGGCAATTTTTTGTCCTCTTGGTTCTTGTCACGATTATGGGTGTGTGTCTTGCACATGTAATACTAACGGGGATAGCCCCATTTCGCATCAATTACTGGAATTGCTTTTAATCGACTGTTCATGTGACAGAGTTGCGAATCCTGATCAGTTATGCAGCTTCACTTTAGAGGACAAACTCACGACCACATTATATAATACCGTACATTTTCAAGCTCTCGCGCCTGGTTCCCGTGGATCGTTTAGTCAAGGTGTTTGCTAAGATCTATTAAAAAAGGAGCCTACTTAGCTGCTCTCTATGGTTCGATTTTCCTTTAGCTTCTTTTAGTATTTTACGTGCATTTTATTCTTCCCAAGACCTACCTTTACTTCTCTTTTCCTTTTCTCTCTTAGCTTTCCTTCTTTGGGGAAACAAAACACGCCATGGTGAAGCGCACATGCTCTATAAATTGCGAACACCGTAATGAGCTAAATAATTCCTAACGGTACAAAAAGGTGGGTTGACATGTCTACGTACCTCATGATCTTGCAAAGTTGCATTAGACTACATTGTTCAGCATCCGTTTACTTTTTTTTTTTACGAGATATTCATCGGCAGCGTAACACACTTAAGACAACAGTGTTTGGCAAACACAATATTTTGCCTTTCGGAACAGAAGGACGTTAGTGAGGCGTGGACCGAGTTCAAGGCTGTACTGATTTCTAGCAAGTGGATGTTTGCTGTGCTCGTCCGGAAGCGGGAGAAGCGAAATAACGAGGATAAATCCCGACGCTCGTGTCGCATGCAGGTCCCAGCGGCTACGAGTTAACTCCAACTGTCCTACGTGGGGCTGGCTCAAGTGGAACTCCGACGGCCCTTTGATCGTGAGCCAGCGTCCGCTGTTCAGAGGCTGCCTTGAATGCGAGAACGCTGAGCTGGGATGCGTGGCACATGTCTCACGCTGCAGCGGTCGCCTCGATCAGCAGTGGCGGCTGAAGTTCGCCTCCAACTGGACTACAGCGTTCGGCGAAGCCCTGTTCGCCATCGCCAGCTTCTACTCACCCGAACACTGCCTCACACTCGTCAACGGTGGCGGCGACGGTGACTTCTACGCGCTCCAAGAGTGCGTCAAGCCTCGGCCTTCAGAGTGGCAAGGCTTCTACGTGGTGCGAAACCCCCTCAAGCGTTAAATACACCACACTCACCAGCTCACGTCACGCATTATCGCAGTAGCGCCTGCGTATAAAGTCAACCCACACAGTCACCTTTGTCATCAGAATATATCTAATACCCTCGCGCCACTTAAACGGGGATCTTCCGTCAAAAACCTGGCAAGGTTTATGGCATGATTCTTCACGGAATACAAATTGAACGTCCATAGTCGCGGCATCTTTGTAATGTCACCTGCCTCGCACTGCATTTATCTTCTTTCTCATGCTCTGTGATAGCTTATTTATACAAGCTAGGAGTTTAGAATCCACTGGTGTAGCGATGTTCTCAGGAAAACCAAAAACCGCGACCAACATTTTGATTCTATCAACAGCCTGAAGTGGATATTAGACCACTCGCTACAAAGTTGAGGGTGCCCACATTTGACGAGCGCATAGTTTAAAATGATAAGTACAATGCCTCAATGTCATGTTGTAGTGCTCAAAAGCGGAGTGACTTAGTTTCACGAACTTAGGTAGACAGAAAAAAATTAACTTTTTTTGCGGCAAGCCTGTGTGCAGGTGCTTAAACCCACAAAATTCTGTATAAAATTGTTCAAGTCAAAAGGCAAAGATGTCTAACTGGTGGAAAAAGCTATAAAACTGTTGTTTTTTTTTCACTTGACTGACACTTTAGCCTTTTTTTACGTGAAAGAAGAAAAGCACCAACCTTATCGATAATTTTTGCTTACATTGTATAGCATTTTTCTTAATAAAAGGGTACCATTCATTCAAATCATTGGGATTTCTTTATTTTACTGATTGTGTAAAAAAACGCGACGATGTCTTCATTGTATGGCAATACATTGAAAGATGGCAATCAATTGAAATCTGCACACAAGTGCCACAGCATGGAAAAGAGTGGCTGTCTAGCGTCAAGTATGATACAACTTCGACGAGCAGGGGCGTTTGAAAGAATTTTGTTTTCTTTGGCGGAGGAGGGGGGCGGGGGCTTACCACTTTGAAATGGTCATTTTTCGCTTTGTAGGCCATGACGAAAAAAGTGGGGGACGGGGGGGAGGGCATGGGCCTGGTGTGTCACCTCCTGACTATGCTACTGGCAACGAGTGCAGTTATCATTCGTTCAATGTTCAGGCATCAAAAGCAATGCTTGGTAGCTCTGCAATGAATGAATGGATTGATATGGCTGTATACCCTTCAGATCGGCCGATGGCTAACAACACCACCAAGCCGTGACACTTAGTGAACCAATAACTAGATTTACCTTTTTTTAATAGTGAGGTTGAGGCCTGGTACTTTGTAGTTAAGGGTCTAATTTTCACTCGTGCCTTGACTTTAGCCACCGATCAGATAACCTCCTTCTAGTTATTTCTACCCACTTAAAGTATATTTTGCCCTCTCTGTCCATAAACCCCAGTGCTTTGGAAAACTCTGCGCCATTATCCTGAACTATTGGGTGAAGCCCTTTACAGAACATTATCAAGTGTTCGGCAGCTCCCTCCTCTCCACACGCACTGCATAGCATATCTACCCCTTCGTATTTGGCCCGATATGTCTTGGTTTGCAATACTCCCGTCCTCTCATCGAGCGGTAGAAAAGTAGCCCGAGTATTATCATAGATCCTTCTTTTGGCAATTTCCTGCTTAAAAGTTCAATAGATCTCTAGTGCGGACTTCTTATTCATGCCAATTCTCCACATATCGGTCTCGGGATCCTTGACCTTCTTCTTAACCAATAATTCTTTTGGTTTGGCCCCTGCTGTTTTCTAAGTATTTACCCGTCAATTTTCTGTTTCACTTCCTCCATTTTGTATCGACACTCTTTATGTACAAGTAGCTGAAAACCTTCCTAGCCCAACGCTTCTCCCCCATTTCTCTCAATCGCTTCTCAAATTTTATCTTGCTGCTAGCTTCCCTGCCCTCGAGTAATGTCCATCCCATATCACCTTGTACTCCCTGACTTGGTGTATTCCCGTGAGCTCCTGAGGCAAGCCTACCTATTCCACGTTGCTTAGTTTCTAATCTTGCTTGAACTTCTGATCTCATGTACAAGACCGCATTCCTGAACGTCAGACAACGAACCATGACCCCTTTCCATATTCCTATGTACATCATACCTATTGTGATTCTACAGTGCCCTATTTTTCATCACTGCTGCATTCCTGTCACCTTTAGTCACCACGTATATTTCGTGTTCCCTTGAAACTCGGTCCCATTGCTTATTCATACGCCCAGATATTTGTATTTATCTGTTATCTCTAGCGTGACCTCCTGTATTCTATTCTCACTACCTTCATTATCATTAAAAATGACTGCGGATTTTTCCTTACTGAATCCTTTATTATCATTCAAAATTATGACTGCAGATTTTTCCTTACTGAATCTGAAATCAAACCTATCTCCTTCATTCCGCAGATGTCTATCAATATCCGCAAATCTTCCTTGTTGTCTGCCATTATCACTGTATCATCTGCGTACATCAATGCTGGTAGTGCCTGTTCGATGAGTTTTCCTTGTTTGACGAAATAGAGGTTGACGCCGATTTCACTTCCCTATAATTTGTCCCCTAATCCTTGTAGGTACATCACAAATAGCAAGGGTGACAAAGGACACCCCTGCCTAAGCCCCCGTTTCACCTCTGTGTGCTTGTATACCTGTTTTTTCTTTTCACTTCATAACTACCTTGTTACATTTGTAGATATCCTTTAAAAGGTTTGTAACTCCATCTTCCACACCTAGCGTGTCCAATATTCCCCACAAGTCCTCTTGAACCACGCTATCGTACGCTCCCTTGATATCCAAAAAGTGCCGCCATATCCACGAAGTGAATGATGATGAGTGGGCGAAGCTCCGGAGGTAAACCTGGTAAACCCTGAATCCTCTGTACATTTTGCCCACTCGATTTTATTACAACGCTCCCCCTAGCGTACGTCACCGCACTAAATCGAACGATTGCCTTCCACCAATGACACGCGCCATATGCGACATCATTTCTATTTTATAACATCTCGCATCTTTTCATCAACTACAAGTATACCGTCGTCTAGTTTATAACATCTTGCATCTTTTCATAATCAGCTACAAGTACCGCTATCTAGTGAACACTGCGAGAACTAAACGAGAGGTGGCTACATACAGGGGACGGTACCGCCATCTAGTGAACACTGCAAGAATTAAACGAGAGGTGGCTACATACAGGGGACGGTACCGCCATCTAGTGAACACTGCAAGAATTTAACGAGAGGTGGCCACATAGAGGGGACGCACAGCCCACGCCCTAGGGAGCTTCGCCCCTAAAAGGCTAGCCACAGGGGCCTGTGTTCCTTTTCTGCTATATCGATGCACTGCCTCAGTGAGAACAGATTGTCTTCCAACCTCCTGTGTTTCCGAAACCCCTTATGCAGTTCCCCCAGCACCCTTGTCCTCTATTCATCCTGCACTCTTTCCTTTATAATCTGCATCGCCAGCCTGTAGACCACTGATGTCGCTGTTATAGGACGGTAGTTGTTTATGTCAGCTTTGTCCCCCTTTCTTTTATCGATCATGCTCATCCTGCTAAGTTTCCATCCATCGGGGACCTCACCATAGAATATTATTTTGCTCACTGCCTCTCTCAAAGTATGCTTAGATGTCAGACCCAATGTCTTTATCAGCATAATTGGAATGCCATCTGGGCCTGCTGATGTACTACAAGGAACCCTCTTCTCAGCCCTTTCCCACTGTCGTTGTGAAAATGAAGCCATTGCGCCGCTTGATTCATCCTTGTCTATTGTGGTGTATAAGGCACTTTTTGTTGAAAATTTTCTGTCACCCTTGTTCTTATATATTCAATATCTTCGTCCCCTTTTAGCCTAGCACCTTGGGCTGTAGTTATAAACCTCTGCTCCAGACTCGTCTCATTTCTTGGGGAATTTAGATGGTTCGAAAATTTCGCAGCTGCCGTTTTATCCGTTTTATGTCTTCTTATTGATCAGAAGGGATGCTTACCTTCTGCAGCTCAGAAAGATGTGCCATTTTCTATCAACATCATCTGTCGGTTCACCCCGCTGCTTAGCATGTCTGTGTTCCCTAGAGGCTTCCTAACGTTTTGCTATGGCTCTATTAACTTCCTCATCCCACCAATTCTTGAGTTCGTGTCTTCTTTTCCGGGGTGACTTGTCACATGCCTTAGCAAGCTCTAGCTCAAACAGTCTAATTAGGTTCGTGTATGTCCACACTGTTTTATTGTCCTCAGTGATTACTTTCTCAATTCGTTTAGTAGCTATTTCTATTTGCCTTTCTGAATAAATATTTTCCTCTAGTTGCTAATCTTGTCTCCTTCCCACTTTCACTGCTCTTCCGAAACAGCTTGATACGTTTGTGATCACTACCGAGACTTCTGGAGCCACATTCATCTATGTGCATTTACCTGAGCCTATCGTTCATCCTATGTGAGATCAGTGTGTAAGTTATCGTCGACCGCAGCCTTCCTACCTGCAATGTTATTTGCCCTTCACTGTTCTCGGTACTGTTGCAAACGATCAAATTATGCCTTTCACACATATCTATGATCATTTTGCCTGTTGGGTCGGTATACCCATCTATATCTTCTATGTGCGCATTCATATCTCCTAGTATAATTATCTCGCACTCCCCTCCTACTTCTTAAATGTCCTTTGATATACACTCCACCATTGCCTTGTTTTCCTCTCTGGCCTTTGCTCCCGTCCACAAGTACACCAAACCAAGAAGTGTCATTTGCCCTGCCACTTTCCTTTTTAGCCATAAATGTTCCTTGCACTCCTGCTTGACGCTTTGCCAGACTGTACTTTTATCAATGAATGCCCCAAATACCACCCCCCTTTCTACTGCCTTCTGTTCTATTACAATATTTCCACGCCTAGTCCGGAATGTTAGGAGGTTGTGAATGTGGACAGCAGCGCCACCTCTGGCAGAAAAATGCAAACTGTAGATGTACATAGCGCGTTTTCTATTCTCTGCACCGCGTTACCGCTCGCTTCCGCGCACGTGCAGGGCCACACAGTGCACCGCTTGAATAATATCTTTCAGCTGAATTACGTTTACGTTGTGTAGCAGACGGCAACAATGCCAGACTTTACGCGAAATGCATTTCTGAAGTCCTTATGTCTAAAGGCAATTTAATTGGACCTAGCTATCATGCACGGTAATGTTTTGATTGAGTGATTCTAGAAAGGAGAGAAGAAGGCACCTTATTTCCGCCCAAGAGGCAGACATAAATTAGGTGCCTTCTTCCCTACTTTCTAGAATCACTCGATCAAAAGATTACAGCACAGGATAGCTAGGTCGACGTAAGCTTCCTTCTGTCATACGTGAAATACACCTGATGGTTTATATGCCACGCGAAATGAAGCCACGCACGCGGTCGATGTTCTACTTCGTCGGCATTCAAAAACATACGATCACCTCTTTCACTCCAAGACGGCATGCTTGAGATAGAAGACCACGAAAATGAAGATATGAGGCACCGAGCTAATCCTTCAAAAAGTCATCTTAAACAGCCTTGTATCAAATGAGCTAAGAATAAAAACAGATGAAACAGATGGACCATTTTTAAGGTCTCTAAAAAATGACAAGAATAGAAGAACGCTGCCGACAGTCCAGAATGCTGGACTGCTTGCCTGGAAAGAACACTCTCTCCAGAGGTCAAGTCATTGCCGTCATACCCATGCAACTAAGTCCAGCACCG